CCTAGTTCCAACTTGAGGCTGGTGAGGAATGATGTCATCCACCACTGAATCATCAGCACCTTGCAGAGCATCTAGCACAAACAAACACTCAATAAATATCTACTGATTAAATGAAATAAATAAGGGCTCATGGTCAACTACTTTTGTCTTGATCCCAACTCCTCAACGTCTTTGCTCCATTGATTATCTCCTCGTAAAAGGCAGCCCCATTGTAGTAAAAGATTTTAGGTCAGCCAAAACCCCGGATCAAATCCCCAGTCAATATGACCTTAAGCAGGTTTTCTAATCACTCTCTCTGCCTCAGTTTTCTTACTTATAAAATAAGATCCTGTTCATAAGGTTTTGTTGAAACAACTCCCATAAAAGGCCAGACAGGGACCCACTAAACATTTGTTGAATGACACAAATGACCATTCTGTTCTGTAGTTGCAGATCAAAACATAACTATCAAAATCTAATCTGCCAAAGTTGATCCTCACGTAAGCAACAGACAGGCATCAACAGTTGGAATGCACTATTGCAGTCTATCTGCTGTTAAACATCAAAGGAAGAGCTTAACATCTGCCTTAAATGCAAGAAAACAACAATTAGTTCACAAGTAAAAGGGAAAGGTGCACAATCCAATCTGACCTTCTTCTTTCAACCAAAGTATTAAGGGATTATAGCTGACAGCAGACTGAAGATTTTCCGCAGGGATCACACACAGTGAGGGAAGGCAAGCTAGAAATGGTTTTTAAACTCAGCATTTATTGACAGCTTCTGCTTTTCACAGCCAAGAATGCACAGGCCAAGTTTGCCTTTAAAGTGCAAAACTAAACCACCACAGACTACAAGAATAATATTTATCTCCACAGTGTCTTCATCTAACCGTACTTACTCTTCCAACAATTCAAACTGGAGAATCTGGAAAGAGAGAAATATCACAGGTCTCTGTGCAACTTCAAATTTATGGAAAAAATAAACTTGTTTTTGCTGTGCAGGGATATCCTAAGAGACCCACTCTGCTCCTATTTCTCTTCTAAGAAGCCCCCTGTGTTCTATTTCCATAACACCTGAACTCTCTGTCTTCTGAGGCTTCAAGAGCTATCCAGAGGCCCTTCCCTTCCTCTCTTCCAGTAAAAGCAGCCTAGACAAGCAATGAGACTCCCTGGGGTTTGGTTTCCTTTCTCAACCCCCTGCTGCTCCCCTGGAAAATGAAAGAAACCTAGAGTTTTCCAAAGCCCAGAGGCAATGTTGATCTCCAATAATCTTTCCCATTCTCTTAAAACCCATCACTTCCTACTCTACTGGGATACAAAGCTTGAAGAGAAGCCTCATGGTTCAAGAGAGTAGATGCAGTAGTTACAAGAGAACGTGAACTCTGGTTTAATGCAGCCAAGGTTGTCCTGGGATAAGCATGGTCAAAATACAGCAGCTAAATTCTGCCCTACAAACTGGCAGCTTTGACGTCTGAAAAAGGTTAACTAAGCAAAAGGGGTGCCCATCTGTACTAGGATTACTCTGCCTAAATTCCCAATGGACTAGGTATACAAAACTATTATCATAACTTATTTGATTGTACCATGTAAACTAAGAAACTATTCTGTTAGAAGAAACTATGACTACATTGTGTATACACAGGTTTCAAAATCATCGCTCTGGGCTGGGGGTGTAGCTCAGTGGAAGAGCTCTTGGAGACAGGGTCTCACTAAGTTGCCAGACTGGCCTCTTCCTGCTTCACAAGTAAGTACCTTGTTCATCTTTGAATGAGTTCCTAAAATGGTACCTGAAACATAGTGGTTGTCCAACAAACACTAGCTTAGTAAATGAACTAAAAAATTGAGAAAACATGTAAGGTCTGTAGAACATTCTGCATCTCCAATGAATCTGGACTGCAATTTGCTCCATAAATAATATCTAATGTCTATCAAATGTTCCTTCTGTACCCAAAATTTCATCTGAGTCATTATGCGTTTCTTTGGAGAGAAAATAACGTGGGTAAGACTCCTCTTAGGTACAGGAATATTAACTAATACAGCTAGGGAGAAAGAGAATGTCACCTGAATTCCTGAAATGTACCAAAGGGACCACAGAAGACACAAAGCTTTATATACAGAATCTATCAGCCAGTGACACATGCTTAGGCCCATAAACCTCCAGTTTAGAATCTGTCTGGTTATAGTAAACACTGAAGAGATGGACCCTATTCCGTTCTTTATTAGATGAAAAACCTACACTGCACTTTTCACATATTTATAACTCCTTTCTGAAAATTAGGATAGCCTCAAAATAAACAAAAGGCTAAGATCCAATTATTTTCCTTTCACTAAAAGTGATGTTGCAGGTAAATGTTTGTTAACATGGATAATCATTATTTATTGTTAAGTGGAAAAGATGGGTTACCAATTTGTGGCACTACTACCGAACAATTTGTACTTAAAAACAAGCATAGGTATGTATTCAATAGAATAACAGTTTTTTTTTAATTCTTAAAAAAAAAAAAAATCCATGGCAAATAATTATAGACTCAAGTTTCCAAAAATCTACCTTCAGTAATTTAGTAAAATACTCAAAATAAGGAATACTTTGAAAATGCATATGTGATTAAGGAAAAGGGAGTTATAAGGAAGTGTGGGTATTGTTTGGGTCCGTCCTACATTTTCTCTAAAGTTGTGTGTTTGCTTTGCCAAAAGGAAACCACTGATACCGTTCAGTGTTCTGTACAGGTTTTAAAGCACTGTCAGAAATACTCTCTCGCGACTTTAATAAATCTCTAAAAGGACTTCCCCCTTCCCCTCCCAGTCCCTTCATGTTAACTTCCACGTAACAAGTTCTTCAGAACTAGATTTGCGTGCAGGATGCTTTTGTGCTTTAACCTTCCGTTTTGTTTTGTTTTTATTTTTAACTTAAGGGTGAAGGGTGAACATCCTTCCATGCACATGAGCATTCATTCACAACATCGACTTTGGTAAGTAGGGGCCTTTCTGCCACCATCCCTCCGGTTATGCAGGGATGTCTTTAGCCAATCGCTATAAACAAAAGCCCCACAGATGCCGCACCTCGATAAAATGGAAACCTAACTTTTACAACATGCCACCAAGTGTCCCAAAAGGGAATATTTTGATATAATGGAAGGAAATTGTTTCCCTAGGGGCCATATTGAATTTTAAAGAAGTACTGAATTATTTGAAGGGCAGTTTGAGGAACTTGTTTCTTAGAACAAAGTATATTTCCTATCTAAACACACTGCAACTACCAGGTCCTGAAGTCCAGAGAGCGCATCATTTGCCTTTTTCATTCTACCTCTGGGAATGAATCAGTGCCTCCCAACATAAGTCTCTTTCAAATATCCTTCCAAGATGGAATAATAAGTACCAACAAAGAATTCCCTTTACTGCAAGATTAGTATGTGATTATAAGATAACAAAATTCAACCAAATTCCTATAATTTTAAGAATTCCACTGACAATATTTCACTATTACAAAATTTTAGTAAAACAAAAAAGCTTGGCTTTGGTATATAATTTCAAGTCCTTGTTTTCTCTGCAATTATATTTTAGCAGTATTGACAGACCTTAGAAATTATATTCATGTCTATGTATGTGCATATATTTATATATATATGTATACATATATATACACATACACATATACATACACAAATGCATATATTTTTTCACTACAAATATTTCGATAACCTTCAAATCAGTTCATATTATTATTACAAAATACACAATTTAATTATAATTAGAGTTGTAGTGAATATAGTCTAATAAAACCTACAAATTTGATTTTACTATTTAATGTGATCATAAAATGTCTTAAGTTCTTTTCTGTTTTGCTTTGTCTTAAACATTTTTTTTAATATTTATTTTTTACTTATAGGTGGACACATATCTTTATTTTATTTATTTATTTTTATGTGGTTTTGAGGATCGAACCTAGGGCCTCGTGTGTGCTAGGTGAGCATTTTACCTCTGAGTCACAATCCCAGCCCCTTAAACATGTTTTTTAAGTAGCTCATTTACATTGTCAGAAATAGAGATGACTCAAAAGGCAAGTTTAGAAATCTAGTAATTTAATGGGAAAACAGCTTCTATCATCAATAATATTGTTTCTGGAACATTCCAGGAAGGAGATGGGTATGTTTGTGTGCATCTTTTGTTTTGCATATATTCTTACAGGCATTGGATCCTTAATACCTTGAAGCTATACTTACAAAAAAGTAAAATGACCTGATTATCTTTAAGTCTCATTTTACCTTTTCCAAACATCAGGGAATAAAACTGAACTTTCTGGTCCAAAGTAATTTTTTCTCAAAAAGACAGCTAAAGCTCTAGGGGTGGAGCATTGCCTAGTACTTGCAAAGTCAGATCACCAGCACTGCAGAGGGAGGAAAGAAGGAAAGGAAAGAGAGACACGGAGGGAGGGAGGAAGAAATGAGGAGGACAGCAAAAACACTCACACAGGTATCTCAATGACAAGGTCTTAAGAGTCCCTCAAAAGTTATAAAATACAAAAACTGAGAGGTCCATCAGTTCTTTCAAGACCAAGGTGCACGAGGGATTTATGAGACAAGCTAGCCATGTCTTGTTCTCCTGTCTAGACAAGGAAAGAAATAAGTAGGTTTCATTTTTACCCTAAAAACCCAAAACCAAAGAGCCTACTCAAAATGCCTCCAAGTCTAACACACCTGTAGCTCCAAAAACTGGACTCACTTTTGTTTCATGCTGTATTACACTGTCAGTTTAACTCATCAACTATAAACCTTACAAAGGTTTGATTGCAACCTTGAGGACTCAGTCTATGAACCCAAAAGATGGAACAATTCAGAAAGCACCCTAATCTCTTCGAAGTTTTTATAAAGAGGTCTCCTAAGTCCCTTGCACATTTCAAATCCATAAAAGCATATAAAATTTACTAAGCTGGGCATAAAATAAAGTAGAAAAGCCATAGCCCCATTGGTAACTTTCTGAAAGAAGTGTAACAGAATTTTTAACTACGAATTAAGAATTACTTACTTTTCCCAGATCTTTGGTTCAGAGCTCAGAAGGCAAGCTCCCTTCTCCCCACAAAGTCTGTTAATTAATAGCAATCAATCACCCAAGGCGGTCAGGCAGCCCAAATACATCTATAAATTGTGGAGAGACAAAAATTTGAAATTCAAAGTCAGATTAGAAATTAAAAATCAAAATACCCCATTGCTATTCAGACTCTCTATAATTAAAATAAAGATTCCGTCAGAATACCTAAATGATTAGATGCGCAGGCTATCTTTCCTTCATAATAGATTAACAAGGCTTTCTAAATCTAGGTGGCATTTTGATCTGTCATCTTATTAAAGTTCCTAAAGCAGAACTCAGAAGGCTTCTTGGCAACTGCTCATGTTGAAAATGTCTTTCTCAGGGAGTCATAAAAAGGAACAGAGGGAGGATCTGGACTTCTAATTATACTGTCACTCAGGAGAGATGGAGGGGAGTACTGAAATCACACTTGCCAGCCCCTGCCCACCAAGATGAGCTCATTTCATGAACACAGAAGTGGTTGTGAATTGAAGTGAACAATAACAACAAAGAAAATTATCAACTTCTAAACACTCTTCAGATGTATGAATTTAAGCACAATTCACCTTTGCAGCAGGAATTAGAGGAGAGTTTTTTTTTTCCTAAGAAAATGGAAAACCTAAACTTTCTGTATGATTAATAACCTCACTTAAACCATAAGTTATTTCTCCAACAATCCTGCAAATAAATACGTAGGTAACTCATTAATAAGATAAACTAGTTTGAGTAGATAACTCATTAATAAGATAAACTACTTTGAGAAGGCTAAAACAGATGCCACAGGTAACCTATAACCTAAATTGTGCAGGTCCCTTGGGCTCTCTCATTCCGGGCCTTACATTAGATGAATTCCAAGAAGCATAATAAGCTCAATTACAAGCCAGGAGACATTAAGAAATCAGTGTATTAGAAAGAGGTAGGAGTACTGTTACAGAAGCAATCGTAACTAAAAAGCAGATAGACCCCACCAATACCAATAAGCATAATTTTTTTATCAGTGTCATTGTTATTGCCAGCATTTACACAGTGCTGACTCTCACGCCACATTGTTCTCTAAGTGTTTTAGTGCATTAACTCCATTTAGGATAGGAAAGGGAATTTTGCATTTGTTCTTCCCTGGAGCTCAGTTTATCTATCTGTACACAGCACTCTAAGTTTTGCTATAGCACCTGCATGTGTGCCAAGAGTACAACCTAAACATAATTCATATTTCATTGTTTATGCATGATTTCATTGCAAGAAACACTAATTGGGAAGGCTGTACCTAGGATGAACCCAGTTGCATGAGGATACACCCAATGCCTCAAACATCTACCAGTGAACTCAGTTTCCCACATGGCATGAGCCACACCCACGCATACCTGGTATCTCAACTCTCCATCCTATTTCAGGTCACCTATTCTACCCACACTTCATAGTAATTCACAAGTTGCAACCCTTCAAGGTGCCAAGTTCATAAGCAAATGTCAGGACTTTTCCAAGGTAAAGTACCAAATTTATTATGTTATGCATTCCTTACCCATTTGATTAAATTTTGCTACTATTTATTTTTTCATATATATGACAGCAGAATGCATTACAATTCGTATTACACATATAAAGTGCATTTTTTCATATCTCTGGTTGTACATAAAGCATGTTCACACCAATCCGTGTCTTCATGCATGTACATTGGATAATGATGTTCATCATATTCCACCATCATTTCTAACCCCCTGGCCCCTCCCTTCCCCTCCCACCCCTCTGACCTATCTAGAGTTTGACTATTCCTCCCATGTTCCCCCTCCCTACCCCACTATAGTCAGCCTCCTTATATCAGAGAAAACATTCGGCATTTGGTTTTTTGGGATTGGCTAAGTTCACTTAGCATTATCTTCTCCAACACCATCCATTTACCTGCAAATGCCATGATTTTATTCTCTTTTATTGCTGAGTAATATTCCATTGTGTATATATGCCACATTTTTTTAATCCATTCATCTACTGAAGGGCATCTAGTTTGCTTCCACAGTTTAGCTATTGTGAATTGTACTGCTATAAACATTGATGTGGCTGTGTCCCTGTAGTGTGCTGGTTTTGGGGGGTATAACCAAGGAGTGGGATAGCTGGGTCAAATGGTGGTTCCATTCCTAGTTTTCCAAGGAATCTCTATACTGCTTTCCATATTGGCTGCACTAATTTGCAGTCCCACCAGCAATGTATGAGTGTGCCTTTTCCCCCACATCCTGGCCAATACTTATTGTTGTTTGTATGCATAATAGTTGCCATTCTGACTGGAGTGAGATGAAATCTTAGAGTAGTTTTGATTTGCATTTCTCTAATTGCTGGAGATGATGAACATTTTTTCATATATTTGTTGATTGATTGTATATCCTTTTCTGAGAAGTGTCTGTTCAGGTCCTTGGCCCATTTATTTATTGAGTTATTTATTTTTTGGTGTTTAGCTTTTCCAGTTCTTTATATACCCTGGAGATTAGTGCTCTATCTGATGTGTGAGGTGTAAAAATTTGCTCCCAAGATGTAGGTTCTGTATTCACCTCACAGATTGTTTCTTTTGCTGAGAAGAAACTTTTTAGTTTGAATCCATCCCATTTATTGATTTCTTGATTTTAATCCTTGCACTATAGGAGTCTTATTAAGGAAGTTGGGGTCTTCCTCATAGAAATAGAAAAAGCAATCATGAAATTCATCTGGAAAAATAAGAGACCTAGAATAGCTAAAGCAATCCTTAGCAAGAAGAGTGAAGCAGGTGGCATCACTATATCAGATCTTTTTTTTTTTTTTTTTAAGAGAGAGAGAGAGAGAATTTTTTTAATATTTATTTTTATTTATTTTTTAGTTTTCGGAGGACACAACATCTTTGTATGTGGCGCTGAGGATCGAACCTGGGCCGCACGCATGCTAGGCAAGCACGCTACCGCTTGAGCCATATCCCAGCCCACTATATCAGATCTTAAACTATACTACAGAGCAATAGTAACAAAAACAACATGGTACTGGCACCAAAACAGACTGATAGACCAATGGTACAGAATAGAGGACACAGAGACTAACCCATAAAATTTTAATTATCTTATATTAGACAAAGGTGCCAAAAACATTCACTGGAGAAAAGATAGCCTCTTCAACAAATGGTGCTGGGAAAATTGGAAATCCATATGCAACAAAGTAAAATCTCTTACCATGTACAAAACTCAACTCAAAGTGGATCAAGGATGTAGGAATTAAACCAGAGACTTTGTGTCTAACAGAAGAAAAAGTAGGCCCTAATCTTCATCATATTGGATTTGCTACAATTTTTGATTCAGTTATCATCTCTTTTTTAAGTATCACTGATAGTTTTTGAAAGAATCACTGATAGTTTTTGAGTGTTGTATTGCCAACTCCATTTTTCCCATAAGAGCTGTGGGTTTTACTCTGTGATTTTTATGTAGTATGGTGGTTTTTAGAACTACGTATATGGTATTTTAGCAGAGCTGACTAGACAATAACTAGTATTTACACAGATGCTTGAGATTAAATTAAATTGTGATTTTTCATATTTTGTCTTTACATTTGAGAGTAGCACTATAATGCAATACAATTTTAGAAATATTTTAATTCATAGCGCTTATAATTACCAAGAATGAACAGTTATGGGTCAACTTCAATTGTGTGAAAAAATTTAAAGAAATTATCTAATAATGTTTAAATGAGGTTATCCATACTGCTAAAAAGAATTTAAAAAAAGGAGTGGATTTATTTTTCATTCCTTAAAATCTTTCAATAAAAAAAAAAAAAACCTGAATTTTCTTCAAAAGTTTTTAAGATATGCATAAAGATATATACAAAGGAAGTTTCTATTATGAGTAATAACATCTTAAACAATCTAAAAACTTAAATGTCCAATGATGGATCAAGTTTTTTAAATGTGTATAATACTTAATAATACTATCTGATGTGTGAGGTGTAAAAATTTATAAATTAATAAAAATGGGAAACTTTTTATTAATTTTTATTTATTAATAAAATGGGAAACTTTTTTTAAGCAGTATACAGTGAAAAGGCGGATGATAAAGCAATTACTATCATCCCAATTCTGTATAAAAGTATGTATGTACATAAAAGATGAGAAGGAAAAAATGCCAACATTTGAAAGGGTGCTAATTGTAGACAGTAGAATTAGAACAGAATAATTTTTACTTTTTTCATATTTTGCATTTGGTAGGAAAATCCTCTTTTTATTCCCATTTTAATTTCACATGTAAATCCACAAGGTATTAATAGGTCTGGTTACATGGCCAAAACATTGAAATTATTTTGTATCTCACACTTCAAGAATGAATACAGTCCCAAGAAGATGTTTAAAGTAAATAAACCCATTACAGAGGCCAAAATAAAATTTGCTTTTACTGGCTAAAACAGTCACAAATTTCGTAAAACCCAGACGAAAGATTTTTAATTATATACTTGCATCCAACCTGTCTTACTGAAAGAAATTTCATCCTGAATAAAGAAATTGTGTTCTGGATAAGTTCCTTTCAAACAAGATCAAGATTAGCCAAATATAAAAAGGAATGGACTTGTGTGGGCAAGGAGATGAACTTCTAACTTAGGGAGGTTTAAGAAAGTCGGAAAAGAGAAATCCGTCTTTATAACCTCCAAAGGAACTTGTTCATATTCAGATTTTCCCAACAACAACAAAGCTTGACTTTGAAAAGAAGAATCCACTTGCCAACAACAGTGAACCTTCCGTCCTGAGTGTGCTTGGTTTAATCCCACACACTGGCACCACCTGAGTTGGGGGGGGGGGTGCAAGGGGAACGAGGGGCAGTCTGGGACAATCCGACCAGTGCACACCTGAGTTCAGTCACCTGTGCTTGGTGAACTGCGCATCTAAATGACACATCCCTCCCTCATTTTCAGGGTTGCCTTCTTGGCACACCTGTCCACCCAGGAACTATTTGGTATAGGATAATAATTTTAATACGTGTCCTCATTCTCAAGAACGTGCTGGGATTAAAAGTTAATGGTCAGGTATTTTTTGGTTTGTTTTTATTTGTTTTTGTGGTGATCGGATTTGAACCCA